ATAATCTTGTTTTCTTGTGCCAATATGCATAATTTCATTTGATAAACACGTTTAGATTGAATGGTAATTTATAATCAATCACAAGAACGTCGAATCTGAATCACTTGAAAAAAACACGGGGGTGCTTAACTTTTTTCCAGGTGTGTATATATATTAACATGCATGAAAAAATTAAATACTGAAAAGTACTCCTACTCCTTATTGTGGTTGATAGTTTAGCAAAATTTAAAAGAATTCTTTCTTAACAAAACTTTCATGAAGATTCCTGAAAAGGTTTGAAAGTTAGCTCTAGTAAAGAAAAAAAAAATTGGGTGCTAGATATCAGCACTTTATATTGGAAGGAGCTTTCAAACTCCCAAGGAATCATAATTATTTTTAGTCAACATACTTTTGTGAAAGCATGTTTTAATTTTGCTTATGTATTCCAATAATCTGTCAAAAAAAAACATTTCTAATAGCAGTTAGGTTATAATAGCTTGATATTCACCAGAAGTAATCATCTCAAGGAAAATAATTATTCTATTTTACAGGAGTTAGAAGGCCTTATCAAAGTTAACCAGATGACACACAAGCTCTTAAGTAAATACATAACTTTGAACGATTTTGATGCCATGATTCGTGAGGCCAATCACAACGTTCTGGCTCCTTATGGTAGAATCTGCCTTCATGTCTTTTGGGAACTCAATTATGACTTTCTTCCAAATTATTGTTACAATGCTGCTACATCAAGGTAAGCTACTGAGAGTTTTTTTTAGATGTTTTGTGTATTTAATGTCTAATTGTTTTTATGATGAATAATAATTTAAAAAATAATTCCATTAGGATGTTTAATAATATCTATGCTATTATAAATCACACTTTCTGTTGTTGGTGCTTACAAGTTCCATGGTAATTGTTTCCAGTAAAAAGAAAAACTATTTTATGATTTTTAATAACAGCAGCTTTTCTATTCTAAATACTTAGACAAATCTATTACAGGTACTGTTGTTTTATCCTTTGATAGCAAATTATATTCACCAGTACATTTGTTATATGAAACTTAGTCTTAGGCTTAATTGCATAAAGAGACCTACAAATTATTTTTACAGTTAAAATTTACCCATTAAATAGTTATGATCATGTATAGTTGTTTACTCATATAAGAGACATATGGAACTATTTAACTATTATAAGTTACTAGTGTACACAAGTGTATTGTGAAAGAGGAACTATAGTTACATCCTATGCTGTAGGAACAAAGTTTGCAGTAAAAACCAAGATGAAAATATAAGTGAGTTATTATTTACTATAAAGCTTATCCCTTTCCAGATGGGTCACGAGTCAAACGCCATGTCATCATATTTGTTGACTCTCATTCAAACTTTTATTGAACTACTGTTTCATGAATTTATGTCAATAAGTTTGGTATCAAACTGTAGATTATAATTGAAATTTTAGCATTATACTTATTGAATTTCTTAATTTAAAAGTAAATTAAAAAAAAACAGTTAAACATCAAAATTTGTATGTTGCATGGTATGTTGAATGCAGCACTGGTTCATATTAGAAGTTTGATGTCAAAATACTAAGTCTATAGTTTCTTACGAATTAGGAACTCAAATTACCAATATTAACAGGCTAGAATATAAGATTAGAAGCTCTTATCTTTTATATTTGCTAAGATATTGCTTGTGTTCTGAATCAAAAATGGTGGCTCCTCACCCACCTCTTTTCATTTTTGGAAACACTCCCTTATATGCACTTCTATATATGACATGAATAGCCAATTGAAAGCTCAGAATGGCCCCTTAGTGGCTTTCTTGGCCATTTTAAGTTGTTAGGACATGATCTTGTTCTTTCAAACCAAGATTTCAAGGAGGTAGGTTGTGTCTTTAGTCTGCTCGAAATTTCATATTTTTTAGACTGAAATACAGTTTAGTTACTAAGCTAAATTATAGTGGAATTCTATGATATTGATATGGTAATTTATGATTTTTTGGTTATTCAACTGTATATATAACATAATTATTTTGTTTCATATCCTCGATGTGGAAAATTTGATAAGGCTTAGCATCTTATGGCAAGCAGCAAACAAGTACAAAGTTCGTAACTTGAGTAGATAATTGTTTTCTATACTTCTTTATTTACTGTTCTATGTTTTAAGAAAAATAACTGAAATTTAAGAACTTATTTGTAAATAGCAATAATCTATATACATATATAATGTAAAATAATTGAAATGTGAATGCACTTTACAAAATACTAGTCTACTAAAACAGCCAAGACGGGTCACTTTGTAAAGACTAAAGGTCAGTTTTATATTATTGGATACAGTAACATGAGTGCATGTGCGCTGCGTCATTGTAACTTCTGTATTATTAGCCAGGTATGGCTGAAAGGTCAGTATAATAAATATATATAAATGTATAATTGTATGAGATATAAGCTATTTAGTCTAAACATTTATGTTTTCATGTTATAATTTGTTGTCATTCTAGAATGAAAGAGGCATAATTTATATTTATTTCCTAATTGTTTATGGTGGTCATGAGATCAGTCAAATCTACCAAACCCATACAGAGATTTGTTACTGAAAATAACAGATAAAATATAAAGTTTTTTCTTAAGAAACATTGTTAACTATCTGGACATTATAAAGATTTTGCATGTGAAATTTGAAAATTTTCTGATGCATAAAAGTATTTTTAATCTTAAAATGAAAATTACTTTGCATGTTTGAAAGGCAACATGCAAAAAAAGAAAAAAATGGCATGAGAAAAACATTGCTTTACAAACTTTAATACTTAATAAAAAAAAATTGATATTTTGCATATGAAAGTATTGTAATGTTTACTGATAATCTGTCAAATTTCATTAACAAACTTTTACTAATTTAAAAGTAACAGCATGAAAACTATAACAAGCACAAAATGTTACAAGGCTAGTCCCAAGACCGAGCCTGTGCTGAAAGAGTTAACAGGACATAATATATTCAAGATATAATATGATAATTTATATTCACATATAAATATAAAAAATACATTCTTTCAAATTAATAAAAAAAAACTGATATAAGAAGGAAGAGATATTGATATTGTACTACTATTTGCCTTTTGCAGCAAGGTTTGGAAAGTATGTGCTTCATTTAAAAAAGCAGTTGTGAAAAACAAAAAAAATGAAATAATACAAACAATGAACAGAAAGTAAAGAATTATTGGGGTAAAAGAAGTATCCTATAACTAGGCCTTAAGTTAGAGACAGAGTATTTATGATCTATTTAGATACAGACAAGGACAAGAAAAGGAACAAGTAAAATAAAAAGAAATGAAAGATTAAAAAAAGGTACAGAAAAGAAGCAATGTAAAGTGAAAGAAAGATATGTTTACCGAACAAAGTGGGAACACATATGCAGAAAAAATCTACAAAGAATTTATGTTCTCTAAGAATTACTAAGTAAATTTTAATAAAACATTTAATATAAATAAAGACATAATCTCCAAAATGTATCTTTATTAGCACCTTTTTTTTCTGCTGTACATTTTCTATGAAAACTACTTAAGTTGTTTTAAGGAAAGTTTTTGAAAATTATTAGCTCTCAGTATTTCACAAACTCGTGCATTATGTAAGCAGCCTCACCATATAATTTTGTACCTTTGAGAACAAAAAAATTCCCATTATCATATTTATAGAAATATTTAATGAAACATGGTAGACTAATAGTCTTAAAAGACATTCCTTTCTTTGTCAGAAATATTAATATTTACAAAGCCCTTATTAATATTGATATAAAATGTTAAGTATTAGAAGTGACATTATTTTCTTAAAACTTTAGATCAACTGGATAAGTATTTTGTAGATTGGATGTATGATTGTTACAATTCATAACTGTAAGATTATCTGTATGTGTGTGATTATGTTACAGAAGCACTATATTAGTGGAGTTTTTCAAAGTTTCTTTCATAACATTAAAGAGAAATTAGCCATATTATGTGAGTAATTAGCACCCATTAGTATACCAGTCCTCCTTACAACCCAAATGTTTTTCTGAAATCCACCAATTTTCAAAGAAATTGCACTATTATATTTTAATTTGTTGTTGCTTTTTTTTTAGTTATATTTTAATTCTCTTTACAACATGCAAGCATATAATTTTAATCCTTGGACTTCATCTTGTGGTTGATGATGTCAGTCCCCCCAGACAGAGAAAAATGAAGGCATGTGTGATAATGATATATTATAATACTCCCTTTTATTAATGAGAAAAACTGGAGGTGGAAGTGATAGGAAATAGTTGTGATCATTTTGCCTATTCTCATGATAAGATAAAGCCCTCTTGACAATTTCCAAAGACTAAGACATTGGCCTTTCAAAAAATCTCAAGCACTCTCCCATTTATCATCAAATCACATTCACAAGTAGCATGAGCTCTTATGCTAAATTTATCTCCAATCACCAGATTTGCAAATTCTCTCTCACTATATCCAATATACCTAGAAATGAATCTAATACATTCATGTTCATAAACAAGATTAGATGTTATCAGTGGTGATATTCTGTTTTAAACCTGAAAAAATTTTGTAATATATGTTATGTTTAAAAATAACTCCTGAATCTATCTTGTGTATAAGTTGTAAAAAACAAAAAGTTTACATACTTGTTTTATCATTTACAATGCATGTTTGCCAGCACATGACATTGTCATTGATACATGCTGTTTTATAATATTTCACTTAAGCTGTTTTGAGACATTGACTTCCCAAAAATAATCATGTGATGTTGTCTGATGTTTATAGGAAAACCGTTTTTCATTAAAAAATTATTGATATTTTCATGTTTTTACGGAAATATTGATATGTGTTAGTGACCATGTAAATATAGTGAATCAAAATATTAACTAAATTTTTCTTAAATAGAAATGGGATAAATTGGCAGAATTGAAATATGAACTAGTAAATATCTTTATGATACATTACATTATCATACACTAATGTATGCAAGAAGGCAAGTTGGTGATCTTTTTTTTTATGTTCTGTAGTAAACTTTGACTTATCATTTTGCTGATTGAGATACCTCAAGAACTGATCTACTGACCTAGTGTTCAGGATGATCAAGTATGACAAAAGTATTATCAGTTTGGATGTTCACTCACATGTGTTTGAAACCATTTGTTAGAAGATCCAATACACCAAGAACTCCATCTAAGATGTTTAAATTCATAGTAAACATTAAGACACTCTGTAGTGTGTCGTGCAACTAAAACAACCTGCAGGACACACTGTGTGTTATTAAGAGGAGTGATAGTTTAGCAATTTTCCACCTTCTGTATCTCGGACTGTGGTAATCCAAACTATCTCATATTTTCAGTGGATGTGCTCTACTAGACCCTTACTTCACATAACGAATTTCAAGGCAACCCATTAAGAAATACACGAGATATAAAATCTCCAATATTCATTGAATTTCTTTCTCATTGAAATCTAGATTCAAAGGAAAGAAATGATGAAAGGTTGAGAAAGCCAGTAAGGGACATTCTGAGCTTCTGATTGATTATTCATTTCATATATAGAAGTAAGTGTATATATAAGGGAGCCTCTGTATTTGATTTATTACATGAGCAATATGTTAGCAAATAGAAAAGATAAGACCTCCTTATTTTGTATTCTAACTTGTCAGGATCAGTAATTTGAGTTTCTAATTCATATGAAACTATAGACTTAGTATTTTGACTTCACAAACATCTAAGTTGAACCC